AGATATGTGTATCGAAAAAAATTTTCACAATGTACATGCATGAGATATTAATCTAATTTGGTCAATAGTAGTGTTGGACTCGCATGAGCTGAACAAAATATTTAATGATAATGAAACTGAAAATCTTGGTTTTGATGAAGGTAATTATTTTTCAATTAAACCTTTTTTTCTTAATTAAAAATTAATTTTTACCTTTTTCATATTTTAGATGAAATTTCATCTGATGATGAAAGCTCTGGAGATGACTCAAGAAACATAAAACAATTAAAAGCTCCATCTTCTCAACAAATAATTTCTAAAGTTAAGGGAATCATTTATAGCTCGCTCTGGAATTATTGGAGTGATTCAGAAAAGATTGGGCTAATGGCTACTTTATTAGACCCAAGATTGAAATTAATGGAAGTATGGTCAAATGAAACAAGAGAAGAAGCAATCAAAGAACTACGTACTGAATTCAATACTTGGCAAATCAAAGTTGCAAATGATGATTCTTTAGAAGAAATCCCTTCTTCATCCACACCTTCCTTTATGAAAAAAGTATTTTGTCATAGCCAAAGAAAAGTGAACCATGAGATTGAAATAGATAATTATTTAAACGAAATGATAACTCCAACACAACCTGAAAGAATTGATGTTTATCAATGGTGGAATAACAATCGAAATTCTTTCCCTATTCTTAGTAGAATTGCACGCAAATATTTATCAATACCCGCCACTTCTGTTCCATGTGAACGTCTTTTTTCTGATGCAGGGAATTTAGTTACCTCTAAAAGAACACATTTAGGACATGAAGTAGTAAATCAGTTATTATTTGTAAAGAGAAATAGTTTATATTGTAAAGTTTGGAATTAATAAAAAATAAAATTATTTTTTATCATTTATGTAAATTAAATACATATATAGAAAGATCTGTTCACTACCCGGTTGACCCGTCGGGTAGACCCGTGGGTCACCCGGGTGAAGTTTTTTTAGACGGGTCCAATCTCTATATTAGAGTTTTGGCAGAGTTTCGCATTTGGGGTTTTCGCCAATCATCAGAGTTTCGACAGGTTACACATTAATTGT